AAGTGGCAGCAAGATAAGTTGGAGTGATTTCAGTGATTTGGGGTCCGTGTGTGGAGTTGCATGTCATTCGGGGCATATACTGAGTTGGTTACAGTTTGACTAAATAATGTCAGAAGTTGAACAGCCAGTTGGGAGACCAGTGCAGTGAACTCGGCAATGATTCGATATGGGTGATCCGTCAAGGAGGCAGACCATCTCGAGACTACAGATCTCAGACGGAGTAGAAGTGACCATGCTACAAGGAATTCGTTCATCTTCGGGTTTTTAGAACCCTGCGGGGTCGGTTTGGGTTGCCTTAGAGAGGCTATGGTATGCTTGTGGTTGTGACCATGTCGTCCAAGTTGTCGGGCGTGTAAAGGATGGCAAGGGATGATTTTGAGGACGAAATCTAATTTAAGTGGGGGAGGGTTGTAACATCATGTTCATTAAATAAATAAATAGATAAAATTGATGAACGAATAGTCGCCCTAAATCAATATTATTTAGTGGATTGTTGGTTTTGGGGAGCCGAATGTTATAAATTGGATTGTTCGGGGGTTAAAGTGTAATTTCGGGACTTGTTTCGCAAAAGGATTTTAGTAGTCAGGGGGTGTTTTGTATTATTGGGACTTAATATGTAAGGATTTTTTTTTTGGAAGCTGGGGGTGAAGGGTAAATATCAGATTTTATTTGAATAAGATTTCCAAAGCCAGGGTAGAAAGGGTAAATATTGGATTAAATTTGAAAAGATCCTATAGGGAGGGACCAGAATTGTAATTATGCAAAAGATTTAAAGTGGACGGGGATATAATCCGCCACCCTCACCATGTCAAACCCTAAACCTAAGAGGTTCCAGCCGCCATGAGTGAAGTCAGCCGCCACCACCTCCCTTCTGTTCACTGTTCCGATCAAACGGGGATGCTTGCCGCCTCGCCATTGAGCACCGCCGACCGCTACACTGCCATGGAAGGTCACCATTGTGGCGCTGCTGCCGGAGAACCGCCGAGGGTCGATGAAGACGATGAGCCGTCGCTCCTCAAAGTGGTTTCTGCTGAGTTCTGTTGCCATCGTTTTCTGCCGCCTCCTCGTCTCTATTTCTTTTTGTCGTCGAGCTATCGCCGCCATCGCTTTACCGAGCAGCGGTTGCGGCTGTGGATGACGCCTTCCTTCCGACTACTGTGAGCCACCGCGAGGGTGGCTGTGATTGGGTGTGTTCCCCTTGCTCAGCTCGTGTTCGTGTGTGCGTACATGCTTTCTGTTGGCCGGAAAAGCGTGGGAACCACCATGGCAGCCCACCATGGTGGCCATTACCTTGTTGCCGCCATATAAGCTTCCTTCTGCCGCCTTCTGCCGGATCTTGACACCAGCCACCGCTACGAGTTTGTGTATGGGTGTGTATCCTAGTAGACCTGTTGTGTTCGGTTTTCATAATATTGTAGGTGGTTTGTTTGGCCGGAAAAGCCACCACCACCACCACCACCGTGAGGTGGTGGCTGCCACCCTCTACCACCACCGGCCACCACTAGAGTGGATGTGTGTATGTTTATGTTAATTAGTGTGTGTGTGTGTATGTTTAGTTTTGGATTAAAGCATTGTAATTGTAATGAGCAAATGAATAATGAAAAAGAACCAAACCACCACTGTGAGGTGGTGGCCGTTACCGTGAGCCGCCATTGACCACCACTACCTGAAGTGGTAGTGGGTGGTGTCCGACTAACGAAACCCTAATGGGCCTAATGAAGCCCTATTTGTTCTAAGGACTTATTTTTGAGCCTATTGGGCTATGATTGGGTTGGAAACCCTAATTAGGGTTTAGAAAACCCTAATTTTGGAATTATTGGTTTGGAATTATCGGGACCCGCATTTTGGACCATTGGAGTGAATTCAAGCCCAATTTCATTGTATGTTTGGACTTAATGGATTAAGTCCTTAATGGGTTAAGTATGAATACTTAACCCTAATCGTCATTTTATGTGAAAACCTCTAATTAGGTTTGGATGCTTGTTGGGCTAATTATTAGACTAAGCTGTTGTGGGCCTTTGTGGGCCAATTGGGAACATATGTATGGACTAAGGGAAATTATTGGGCTTCAGGATAATACCCATTAGAGAGGCTTGGGCCCAATTTGGAAAATTAGGCCATAAGTGGGCCATAACTGGGCCTTGAGGATTATTAGCTATTGGGCCATTAGAATGTCAATTGTTGGGGCTAGAATAATTGGTTAAGCCTTAAAATAAGTCAATGTAGAGGTTTGGGCCCAATTTTCCATATGTTGGGCCTTGGTTGACTATTGGGCTTTTAGACCTTCAGGGTGTGAGTTTGGGCCTTGGTTTTGAACCAAGCTAGGTTAGGGGTAAAATGGTTCATTTACCCCAAGTGTAGATTATGGTTGTGTATTGGAACCCAATTATTAATTGGGTGTCATTTTGATGTTGATAGTTCGGGAACCTGTCAACCAGCAGCTAGAGTTTTATCCGCGGGACTTCAGCAGTGCTAGGTGAGTCTTCTCACCATATCCATGGGTCTAAGGCACCAAGGCCGACCCATTTTATGATAGTTGGTATACTTGTTGTGTAGAGGTGTGTGGCATATTTATGCAGTGATACGTGGTAGAGATAGCTTTTACAGCTAATGGTAGAGATAGGCTTTATGGCTAAGGGTAGAGATAGCCTTTATGGCAATTGGTAGAGATAGATTTTATAGCTAACGGTAGAGATAGCCTTTACGGCTAATGATAGAGATAGCTTTTATAGCTAATAGGATATGTGTTATGTGGTAGAGGTAGCTTTTATAGCTTATATGATATGTGGTTTGTGGTAAAGATAGCTATCATAGCTAATATGATATGTGTTATGTGGTAGAGATAGCTTTTATAGCTAATATGATATGTGTTATGTAGAATGTGTGTGGGGTATGCTCTGGGGAACTTACTAAGCTTTGTGCTTACGGTTTACAGTTTTGGTTGCAAGTGTCATCGATTTGGAAATAAAGGGCTTGGATAGATCGCAGTGCACACACCTATGATTTCCACAATGAATGATTTTGGGATAAACTCTGATAAATGTTTACTTAACGATGATTTGAAATGTTTGAAATAAATGGTATCAATGTTTTATCTAAATTAAAATGAAATTTTTACCCTTGATTTTTGGGTCGTTACATTGTCTACCTCGGCGAACACCGGGCCGAGGCCTCGGCGTGCCGAGCTCGTCTCGACAACTCGATGGGGTTTTACCGATGAGAGAGAAGCATCAATACCTGTTTTTCTTTTTTCTTTTTAACCATTTACTCAAATTCCTTTTTTCAAAAAAAGAATGCCCATTTTCAAAAATATAATCGTTTTTTTTTTCCTTCAAAATTTCAAATTTTAAACCCTCAATCTTCAACTATAAATACAATTATTCTTATTCATTCTTCACCCTATTCAAATCTTCATAACTCAATCAACATTAACGTCAATACGCTTAGTTTTTTGGGGAGAGTCAGTGAAACATACAACCGTTATGCCCATGTTCCTCGAAGTGCATCGTAGTACAGATTAACTCTTCTCCAAATGGAGACATACAAACGCACTTGCAACTCATTTTAACAATGTGTTTCGTAGGGTGATGTATGAAGCCGGAAATGGTGAAAATGAAAATAATTTGCTAGAGAATACTCTTGAGGCTTACCGTGTTGAAGCTGACAAACATTTCCGGCTTGTTGACTTTTGACCAATTGTAAGGCGGTCCCCAAAATTTGCTCAAATTTAAACTCGTAGTCTTCTAATTCAAGTTTTTATTTCAAGTGTGTTATGTTTTTTAAATGTAAGTGTGTATTAGTTTAATTTCAAATGTGTTATGTTTTTTAAGTGTAAGTGTGTGATTTTCTTTCAAGTTAATGAAATTTAAGTTTTTATTAAAATAATTTTTTTTATATAAAATAAATTAAAAAAAAGTAATATAGCAAGCGTGTCAATTCATGCCATGTAACTGTCAAGTTTTTGTTATAGCATGACAAATCTGACGTGACATCTACATAGACCATAATAAATGTGAAACCACTCCCTCGAGCTAATCGGTAAATATTTCTGTCTACACATTTATATGGTAAATATGTTTTTAAAAATAACCGTTGACAAAAAAAAAAGTCTGAGAATAAGAGCTGAGCGGGCTCCCGTGGGCCCATTTCTCGAGCTGATTTGTTTCCACATCCCACCACCTAAAACTGCATAAAACCTGCAATATCAATCAGTATCGAGGTTATAAAAATCTGTGCAATTGTGGCAATATATTTCCATGCGCCTGAAATATTGTTCTTATGATGGATGAATTTATAGTATCGATTAGACCATCCGTTATACCCATCAGTAACCACTATAGTGGTGAGTGTCACATCATCATCACACTCCCTACCACTAACCATGAGATACCTACCACTAAACACACCACTCCACCTCATTTTTTATTTAAATTTAATTCAAAAATACATTAAAACACAATAAAACATATTTTTTTGTTTAAATTTAATTCAAAAACACAATAAAACATATTTTTTTTTAAATTAGTTTTTTATTCAATGAAACAAAGATTACATTAATTTAAAACACACAAAATTTCATCTTCTTCATTTTCTGACCAATTCATGGAAAACGTTTCCAACTTTTACCCAAAAATTATAAGGTATTTCTGGGTTTTCTGAAATAGCTACCCATGCTAATGTTAAGTTCTCTTCTTAATTTTCTAACCAATTCATTATTTTTAGAGTCATTGGTTTTAAATTTATCATGCAAAAGAAATATGTGATTGTGAGAAAAAGAGAAAAGAATCGTATGAGTAAAAAATATGACTGTTACTCAAAAAGGCCATGACCACGACCAACCACAAACCACCTGAATGATGTGGTTAGCGGCCACTCACGCTCAATCGCCTTCACAATTTATAGTATCAACTGTGGCAATATATTTCCATGTTCTTCCGGATGCAATTCAATACGCTTCAAAAAATACCTAAACTCAAATTCATGATTCATGAATAACCCAGATGATGTATAGATACAAGAAAGTCATCTCAATCGGCATTCATGGCGGTTCCAAACTTTCAATCTCTCATTCGTACTCAACCACTGGCACCATCAGTCATCACTTTACTCACCACATCAACCACTTTCTCTCAATTAGATCTCCTAAAACCCTCCAATCACTCACAAAGTACCACGCTTACATCATAACTACAGGACATCACTCAACTAACGTTTTCATCTCTTCAAAACTCATCTCCCTCTACGCTTATCTCCATAAACCCGTATCATCGAAACACGTGTTTGATGCATTTGATGGTGACAAAGATATCTTCCTATGGAACTCTCTCATTAAAGCTTACTTTTCCAATGGAATGTATCCACAATGTCTCGAGTGTTACGCTTCTATGAGAGGTTTCACTTCTCTTTTCCCAAACCAGTTTACAGTTCCCATGATTGTTTCCGCCTGTGCCGAGCTTGGGGATTTGATTAATGGCACGATGGTACACGGTTTGGTGTTTAAAGTAGGAATTTTTCAAGAAACCTCTGCGGTTGGGTCTTCTTTAGTGTACATGTATTCAAAATGTAGGTATGTCGAGAATGCACAACAGGTGTTTGATGAAATGCGTCTGAGAGATGTGGTTGCTTGGACTGCTCTTATTATCGGGTATGTGCAGAATGGTGAGAGCGAGAAAGGATTAAGGTGTGTTTGTGAGATGTATAGGACATGTGGAGAAGATGAGAGGCCAAATTTTAGAACATTAGAAGGTGGGTTTCAAGCTTGTGGCGATTTAGATTCAGTATATGCAGGTAGATGCTTACATGGAGTAAGTTTAAAATCTGGACTTGGATTTTCGATAGCTGTTCAATCTTCAATCTTTTCCATGTACTCCAAATGTGGAACTCTAGAAGAAGCTTACATGTCCTTCTGTGAAGTTCCAATAAAAGATATTAAGTTATGGACTTCAATTATTGGTGTATATGGAAAATTTGGATGTGTAAAACAAAGTTTAGATAAATTTATGGAAATGCTTTTTTCTGGGATTGATCCAGACCCAATGGTTATCAGTTGTGTTATATCTGGTCTATCCAACTCTACATGTGTATCTTTTGGAAAAACATTTCATGGGTTTTTGGTGAGAAGAAATTATCATGAAGATCATATGGTTCATGTTTCATTAATGACTATGTACTTTAAGTTTGGACTTATAACTTATGCTGAAAATGTCTTCAATGGTGTCCTTGATAAAGAACTTATGAATACCATGGTTCATCGCTATGGTAAATTAGGATATGGAATCAAATGCATCGAGTTCTTTACAAAGATGCTAAATTTAGGCATGAATCCAGATTCTTACAGTTTAGTATCGGTAATTTCTTCATGTTCAAAAATGGGGGAAATGAATCTTGGAAAATCTCTTCATTGTTATGCTGTTAAAAGGTTTATGACAGAGTATACATCGGTGTCAAATTCACTCATAGACATGTATGGAAACACTAACAATGAAGAACTAATGATAGCAAGGAAACTATTTTGTACAACAAAAAAAGATATTATCACTTGGAACACAATGATTTCTGCTTACATAAATTCTAAGCATTATGATGAGGCGTTTTCTTTGTTCAATAAAATGGTTTTTCAAGGGATTAAACCTAATTTAGCAACACTAATTAGCATGCTTTCTGCATGTGCCCAAATGGGATCATGTGAAAAAGGAGAAGAGATACATTTAAATTATATCGATCAAGAAATGATTTTGACTAATGTAACACTTGCTACTTCATTAGTTGACATGTATGCCAAATGTGGGAAACTTGAAAAATCGGAGAATATATTTAACCAAATGAGAGAAAAAGATGTTATTTCTTGGAATGTGATGATTTCTAGTTACGCGATGCATGGAGACGCCACGTCAGCAATAGAAACTTTTGAAAAGATGGAGGGATTAAAATCAAATGTTAAACCAAATGAGCTTACTTTTCTTGCAACTCTTTCGGCTTGTAATCATGCGGGATTTGTGAAGGAAGGAAAGTATTTATTTGGGAGAATGGGAGATTATGGTTTAAAACCAACACTTAAACATTATTCTTGTATGGTGGATCTACTTGGTAGATTGGGGAATCTTTATGAGGCTGAAGATTTGGTTTTGACAATGCCTATTGTTCCTGATGGAGGTTTGTGGGGTACTTTGTTAAGTGCTTGTAAAACACATAACAATCCTGAAATGGGTATTAGGGTTGCAAAGCGTGCGATTGAATGTGACCCAAAGAATGATGGGTATTATGTAATTATCTCAAACTTGTATGATTCTGTAGGGATGTGGGAGGAAGCTGAAAAGATGAGAAACTTCATGAAGGAAAGGGGAGTAGAAAAGGCAGTAGGTTATTCTTCTAGCAACCCTTGATGTAATTCATCCACACAAGTCCAATCATAATAGATAACTACAATAAATACAAATACAAATACCGAGTGATATTCTGATACTAGTAATGCATGCCATTTTTTATGTTGTAGTGTATCCAACATCGGTGTGACATGATCTTACAAGTGGCTGTATATATATATGTTGGAGTCTATCTTCTCTCCATAAATGCACTTTTAGAGAGTTAATATGGGTTTCACATATATTTAAAGTCACCAACCTCACATGTAGCATATTAGGATCTAGGGTAAAACATCACATAAAGATTTTAAGAAGGCTTTCGGGTAAAACATCACATAAAGATATCAAACTGTGTTTTAATATAATTATAAAAAGACACAAAAGATAGATAATTTTGCATTACATGTTTTACGGAAGAAAACATATGTTTCATGAAAAAGTTGTCAACAAACTTAATAATAAATTTTTAAACGATTAGTAGAATTAACATAACGATTTTAAGAAGTAGCATATTAGGCTCTCGGGTAAAACATCACAAAGATTTTAAGAAGTTTTAAAATCAGTGGAGAAATATCCTTTGACATTATATTATATAATCAAAGTGTTTTAATGAAGATATCAAACTGTGTTTTAACATAATTATAAAAAGACACAAAAGATAGATAATTTTGCAATACGTGTTTTACGAAAGAAAATACATGTTTCATGAAAAAGTCGTCAACAAACTTAATAATGAATTTTTAAACAATTAGTAGAATTAATAGCGTTACATGTTTTAAGTAAGAAAACAAATGCATCCTGCTTTCATTTTATGTGAAAATGACGTGGTTGCTTTAATTAAGTAAATTTTTTCAAAATACAAGATATGAAAATAGAATGTTGTGATAAAAAAAATCAATAAAAGTTCATTGCTATTTCTTGCAACTAAAACTTGTCTTTTCCTCCCTTTGAATGATCATATGATATGCAATATCCTTCATGCTTGCATGCAATAGATACTCCATGCTTATTTTACAATCTAATTTGACTTATTGTTGTCGGGAATCATAGCTCCGGAAATATCAACACAATTTAGTTTAGTTTATTTATCAACATAGGCAATGTAGTAGATTTTCTTTTCCATAATTTTGTACACATAATTGTAGCATAATTACACTTTTTACTGACAGTAACCATATGTTAATTGAACTTCGTGTTTACTCAGACAATACCATACTTACGTAATTACGTTTCCTTACACCTTTACACCAAAAGCAACAAAAATGATGATTATTAGGCTATAAGGTATACCTATAACACCATAAGGCTATCCGGAGTGGCGATACAAAGTCACACGTGATGCTGATGTGTCCGGCCAAAGGACACGTAAACACGCCCCTAAGGCCAGTGGGTAGGGTGTGACGTGAGTGCGAAGACGGATGAAGACGAAAGTTGTGATTGGGTGTTTTTTTATCGTTGTCACTTCTTTGCTGACCGTTGCATTACAAAAAATAAAAATAAATAAATAAATAAAATTATTTTTCGGTTTTAAATTTAATCTCTATATATACATACATTTTACACATTTTTTTTATATCAAAACAAACACACACTTTAAAAAGAAATGGATTTTTTTTTATGTTTTGATTTTTTATGTTTTTATGTAATGTAATGTTTTATTTAGTATGTTTTATATTTATTTTTAGTAATTTAGGTTTTAAATTTCTATGTTTTTAATCAATGAAATATGGTTTTATTTTTTTATGTTTTTAAAATATTTATTTATGTTTTGAATTATATTTTTTATTTAATTTAATGTTTAAAAAAAGTAAAAAATAATATATATATATATATATATTATATATCTTATATATATATATATATATATATCTATATTGGAATGGTAACCATTTCAAATATCTGGTGGGTTCGTGGTGGAGTTGACGTTGCGCTAGTTGGCAACGCTTTTCAGATGACTTTTGTGTGACCACTCCCCGTAGTCTAACACAAAAGTGATCGTCTCACCACCACTTCCCAACCAGATAATCATTGATGTAATTATTAATCTCTAATGATATTCTTATTAAAAAAATTGTTAAAATGAAGGAATATTCAAATGTATATTATGGTAAATGTTTCATAAATCATAAAAGTTTATTAAAAATTTTAAATATTCAATATCGGTTTTTAGGGATGAGCAAAGAAACCGATCCAGAAACCGAACTTTGTGGAAAATAGGAACCGAACCGGACCGCCGGTTCTACCGGTTCTTGTCGTGTCTTTAATGTTGGAACCGGTCCTCGAGAAATAGCAACATACGGTTCCGGTTTTTGTCGGTTCTACCGGTTCCGGTTCCTACCGGTTTTCGGATTCAAAAATCCACAAAAATATCGTCCCGGTCCCGGCCCGACCGGTTCCATCGGGTTCCGGTTCCGGTACCAGTTTCGGCCGGTTCCCCGGTCCATATGCTCATCCGTATCGGTTTTACTTTAAAGACCGCGATGAAAACTTTTAAGTAATGATTTATTTTCTTGGTGTATGTTTGGAAATTTTTTCAAGAAAACAATGATTGGATTGGTTTGTGATATTTGTGGGCCTTGATTATTCCATAACCACACACGTTTGGTTCGGTCTGGTTTTTAAAGCTTTCATGTCATATTTGAGAACCATTTCAAACTACTCTAAGTCTAATATTATGATTTTGAGACCTAATGTGGTGATGATCGTTGGAATTGACCACGGAGCGGATGTCCACAAACGTGTACCACCTTTCTGCTATATGATTTGTAAAAGTCATGTCCATCCATTTTTTTTTATCAAATTCAAGACAATTCAATTTTCAAAAATATGTAATAGTTAATGGCTTATTATTTTTTGTTGTCATATCATCTGTCTATTAACTTTTATTTATAAGAAAACTTTAAAAAATATTTTCAATGGTTAAAGACAAATTCTCAATCTAACTAATTTATATTTTATCTATATTAAACGTTTTATTAAGTTTTTTCATACAATTTAAGATTTATCATCCTTGGATATTTTTTTTAATGAAACAGTAAAAGATTATAAAAGTACAAGAACAATAATATTTTATGTAACCGGAATGTTTTTATAATATACGATATATATTTTTTAATTTTGATAATTTTAATAATTATTTTTAAATTATATATATATTTTAGGTATATTCATTTTTGTTTTTTAATAAAATCTTTTGATTAATTGATAAAAAAAAATATAGTTTATGAATATCATTAGTGTAGAAAATATAATGTTAATTAATATAAGGATGAAATATGACAAACACGTCAAAGAAAATTAAAATGTTTGTGGATAATAAGTGTTTGGGTTGACCTTTAGGAAATGTAACATCCGGTTTCCCGTCATTTCTTATTTCAGGGTCATGGGACGGAAGTCGATTGTGTAAAAGTTTTGGGCCTTAAGGAGGTAAATATTAGACCTTGTGGAAGGTGGTAATGATGGTTGAAAGATCTAACCCTTGAATTGTGATTTGGGTCGAAGGTTAAAAAGGGAAAAGGCATAGGTCGGGTTATTGCATGAAAGATGGATTTTTTTTTCAAGAAGTTTTTTTTTCCAATATATTTAGATAATATTTTAGAGCTCTTCATCACCTTTTTGTGGATATAAAGAACGTTGAAAACTGAGTTTGAACGAAGAAGTTACGACTGTTTGAAGTTATGACGATTTTTGGGTTAGCCGCATACGCTGGGCGTACGGGGAGTACGTTGGGCGTACTAGGGCATCCCTAGTATGTTGGGCGTACCAAGAGTACGTTGGGCGTACGCGATCAGAGCTCAAACTCTATTTTTGTCACACCCCCAAACCGAGATGGCGAAAACATTCGGGGGCGGAGGACGTCATGTACAGTATCATAACAATGAATAAAAGTAAAACAAGCAACAACATCCATAGTATTGAAAATATAGTTATTGCATTTATGTTCTTAGTATTGTTTGTGTGACACCATAATGTATAGAAAAAATAAAAGACGAGTCTTGAATATGCTCAGTCTTCTCAGAAACCTGTGTGAGTGTACCTGTCTACTGGTTCACTGAAAATACAAGTTATTTTGAAAAGAAAGTATCAACATTTAAGTTGGTGAGTTCATAAGCATTTAGTATTAGAAATCTGTCTTTGTTTCATGAAAATGTTAGTGTGTTTCTCCAGAAAATCCAATATTTTCTATAATAAATGAAATGTAGTTTTAGGCCTTAAGACCAAAATGTTGGTATGTTATTGTATTCTGAAATAGTGTAAGAGTATGTTTTTCCATCAATGTATGCTTTCTTTACTAGAAAAATAGTGTACTGTACTTGTATGAACTATGTTGTATGCATGCACTGGAAAATAATGATGTGTAGTCTAATTACTTAAAATAAAACCACCGAAGTGATGTTTGTTTGGTAAACCAAATTGGTTAGTTAATGTTTAATGTGAGTGGGATTATAACCATACTAAAATGACTAGTGGCCTACACGACGTTCTTCAGGCGTAGGAATGTTATGACATTTGTCACCCCAGACCTGCCGGTCTAACTGTAGCTATCAACTTAGGTGCGAGATTGTCAGTCCCGTATAGATCTATACACAAATTCACGCTCTCTGTCTAGGAGACTCTAGTTATAATTTAGGACTTTTAGCATGTACTTTAGTAGGTACCCTGAAGTAGTGGCTCACATGTTAGTATTAACTTGTTTACGTATAGTGTGTATTTGTTTCTTGTTCTTGTAAATGAATAGTGTACTTGTAGTGAATAGTAGTTTATACTTATGTAATTATTCATGTGATGTATTCTTGACCTAGAAAATAGTGTGAATGAATCCCTAAACTATACCTATTATAGTTTATAAGTTGTTATGTTTGTACTGAAAATGATTGAGGAAAATGTACCCCTTTGCTGGACATGTTACAAAAGGGTTAGTGTAACACCCAAATTTTTAAACAATTTTTCACATTTTATAAAACACGTTTTCATTCATAATCGTTATAAAAACACCATTGTATCACATAACATCATATCCC